AGAGAGTTCTCGCTTTCCCTCCTCAACTTGAGTAACAGAAAACATATTTTTAAAAAAGTACAACTTTCTGGGAATATTCCAAAGGCCAGCCTACCATCAGCCACAAGAGAGCATGAAGACGCACAGCTTCCAAAACTGTCTCACGGAATATGAACTGGCCCCTTATAAGCTAAGACTTGAAAGGAGGTTATGTTGTAAGATAAGTACAGGCAATAGAGAAATAGCTCTTAATTGGCTCTTGATTACACAGTATAAACCAGGGCAGGCTTGGCCATCTGCTCAGGACTGTTAAGGTACCAATGCGCTACTGAAGTTCAGAGCGGTGCCAACATCCGGTTAGATGTTCCACGCCTCTTGCTTGGAAGCTGGCATGGTTTTGCAGTGTTACTCAAGAGCAGTCATTTTGCCGCACACTTACATTGTTGATCAGGTAGACACCTCGACCCCTAGAAGAGGCCACGGGCTTCACTATCCATGGGCCCTTGTCCTTAGAATACGTATCTGGTTAAAAGAAAACAGCACAAATGTGAAACATTTTCCATTTTATTTATTTACAGAGCAGCAAGAATGTTGCCTACAGTAAAAGGCTTAGATAACTCCAGGAGGAGATTATGGTCTCTGCTTTTCAATGTCCTTTTTGCGCTCCTTGAGACTCACTGCAATTATTATGGGCTCTCCCTCAAGCCCCTCCTGCTGCACTGACATATTCTTATCTCTGCCCTACACCTCCTTTCGGCATATCTCTCTTCAGTACTCCCAGATTAGTCAGGGGTATTATAAAGCTGAGAACTTACGCAGGTATAGAGTACACAGCAGAGCAGAAATGATATAAAGAAATGATGTAAGCCTCTTCCACTGTCCTTCCAATTTCCTTCCAATTTTGTTGCCTCAACCACTTGCACAAGCAACAAGCTGGGACATTAAAAGTAATCCCTCCTACACCCAGTTGTTTTGCTTTAGGCCGGACATCATCAGCCAGTCACTTACTGCAGAACTCCTGGTACTCTGCTGGGAGGATAAACGTCTGAGGTAAGATGTGGAACGTCTTGAATCCATGGGTCTGCTGCATACGACTGACATTCTTGTACAGTCTGTCTTTTCTTGTCAGTTCATATGATCTGAAGTCCCAAAAACAGAGACTGTCTATATTTCCATGAAAAATACATTCCAGCAACTCAACCGCTCTAGTTACTAAAGTACCTGTAACCCTGCCAGAGGTCTGAAACCTAACCTGCAACAACCACTCTTCCGTTTTGCTGTCCCTCTGCCATAAGGCCCTATTAATATCCATCCTCACCCACAGTGCCTCTTGCTATTCCTGCAAAGTTCCTATGGACCTCCCAAGACAGATTGAAGCACAGCAAAGTGTGTTATAATGGTGTTTGTAAACTTTAGCAGGTGAAAGATGACTATCTCCATAACTAACAACATAGAGCTCCCAAATACCTCACTTACACCCTCGAGTAAAGCAAAAAAAAAAAAAATCTACTATTTGAGCTAGAGACAAGCACTTCAACTTACATGCCGTCTCCCCCAAATCCCCTAAGACTGTTGTGAATGAAGACAGCACGTGGCACAGGTTCTGTGCCCTGTGACTTTATCATTTAAAGTACTGTGCACGTTGGTTTTTTTTGTTTTGTTTTGTTTTTAAGAGCTATCTACACTCAGATTTCTGCAAACCATGACAAAGACATTCAGCAAAACATGACATCTTGGCCTTACCTAGGGAAATGATTGACTTTCTGAATATCTGTAAGGGAACGCAGCAAGTAGGGCTTCAGGTGTGATCCTGTCCACATGAGATTATAATCACTGCTATTGGGGTGCACCTGGAGGGGGAAAAAAGGCATCAATAACAAATAAATAGTAAAACCATGGAACTAATGAGAAGCACCACGGCTTTTCCTACAAACTGTGCCTTTACATCTATAAGCGTAGAACCGGTGTAGGTGCAGAGTAATTCTAGCGTAAGAGAATCTCCTCTGTCCCTTTCTAATATTAACACAATTACAGCCAGACTCCTGTCCTAAATGATTGGATAGTGTTGCTGAGAAATAACCACGTCATATTTTCTCATATGTACAGCTTGTGAATTTGATCTTTTCATAGACCATCTAAATCCAGTTTATAAAGCACTTCAGATTTCTTCTGGAAACCTGGGAGATTGATTCCCTGAGCTTTGCCTTATTCAGAAGAACTTCCATCACACACATACATCTGTTAAACAGTCATTAGCTGCAGACAGGATGTTCTTTAGAGCAAGGCACGTGCTAAAAGAGAAACATAACACACCACAATAAGGCTTCTAAGAGCTCGCCCAGGCTGAGATGAAAATCCCTCAGAACTTCCCAGGGGTGGAGTTGAAGCTCTAAACGCAAGACGAGAAACACCCATAACCTTTACTTTGATAGCTCTTTGCCTCAACTTTACAGACTTTAGACTAAAAACTACTCCTTTGAAATAGCAGAATCATGAAGTATTCCCTGTCCAACTAGCAGAATATATGAAAACTCAGAGGGTCCACCAAAATTTCCCGATTCTAACTCTGCAGCATAGACAAAGAAAGAAAGAAGAAAAAAAATCACTCAGCCAAGCACATATATGCAGGCTTGCCAACCTGTTAGTACTCTGAAGTTTGTTGCACTCACCTCATGAAATCCATGGGCAGTCAGAAGGCTTCGGACCAGGCGGCTGTCTGTTCTGACAATCTTATAGGATAAGTGATAACGTTCTGTTAAGAAAGCAAGGCAAGAGATACAACATTAGAGCCTGCAACCTAGGAAAATAAAGTTATCTATGCTACCAAAGGAGAGAGAAGAGCACCATAGCACTCAGCACAATATAGCTGCACTTAATCCACAGTGGACTGCCCTGAAAGTAATAGCACATAACAAGGCAAAGGGTGACAGGAAATATCAAACCATCTCTGGGGGTCTTAACTCATGATGGCATCACACTAACTTACATCAATCCTCAGGTGTCAGATTTCTGCTTCACTGAAACCTATGGAGTCATGATGAAACACAGGACACTAACAAATGCCCAGATTTTTTTTTAACAGCTCTTCATAACCTGCCTTATAACACTCCAAACACAACTCCAGTTCTTTCTTCTCAATTCTAGATTGGTATTCCTAGTCAAGAGCAATTATGTCATATGCTCCTCATTAACATGACTAGCTAAAATGACCACTTTTTAGACCTTGAAAGCCTACAATAAAACACTGCCATTCCTTTGTTCACATCCTACCGATCTTCAAACAAATAGCTGGAAAAAAGAAGTAGGAAATAAAGTAAACAGGACAACTATTAAGTGGAAAAGATCACTATCCAAGTATAAAGTCATGCAATCAAAAGCAATAAGCAGCATTGGAAGTAAAAGAAATAAAAACCTGGAACAGAATAGCAAGATGAGAGGTCAACTGTCATACAAAAGGATTGGTTGATCAAAATCAGAGTTCAGAGAAGACAGAGGCAGAAATTGTGAAGCTAGAATACAAAATCACTTGAAAAGGGCACTTCTTAGATGATTCAAACTAGGAACAGAGAGATGAAAATCAGATGAAACCTCGGGAAAATGTCCTACCAATAAAAATGAGCCTCTAAAGAAAAGAGGAAGAAGCAGCAGCATCTGGGATTAAACAAAGCTTTACAGGATATTTAAGAAGTTGTACTATCCAGGAATAAATTTGTTAAATCACATTAATTTTCTCTCCCCCCTCCCCCAAGAAAAAGCAACAGAAGATACCACGCTCCAGTTAGGACAAAAGTTAGAATTACCATCAGCTTCTGTCACCATTCAAGTAAATTTCTAACTCGGGTCAAAAGGATTAGAAGTTTCCACACACACAAATAATCTTCTCCACCCCTTACCCAAATGAGCCACAAGCATTTCTGCTTGGTTAGGATATTAAAAATGAGGGCACCAATTACCTAAGAAAGGGAGAAGCAAGAGAAGAATCAAGCGTCAGCATCTTCACAAAAAGAAGCTGAGTGGATTTTAGCTTTTCCCCAACTCAGCACATCCAGAACGAGCTCCCAGCTGTACACACCCGTAAGCGCTAGCTCTTGCAATCTGGACAACTCTGCCTCTTCTTTAGAGGCTCTCCCTTATTTGATGCTGGACAGCTTTGATTTCCTGATCCCAATGCTGCCACAGCAGCAACACTTTTACTTATGCCCTTACTCTGATTTGTGAGGCTGTAGGTGCAGGGATTTGTTATTAAAGCTTATTACTGTTTTTACTGCTGTGGGGCTGCCCGGTATATTTCCTCACCAAACCCTCCAGAAACTCACTGGAGTGATTGATTTTAACTTCTCCACTAGAGACTAGTGAATTTCTCCTCTGGTCCTAAATTCTGCCATGGCCTCCTCAATGATACACAGGCAGACAGTTCCAATTCTAGATACGTCAAGACCCAATGGAAGGAGAAAGACAGACACTCATCACAGTCCAAATATGTGATAAACATCCACCAACTGACCAATGATTTCTGAACATCTCCGTACCGAGACATGAAGAGATTATAATTAACCCTCAAACCAAATATAATCTCCTCCTTAGCATCTCTTCTTCCCCACCACTAAGGAAGGAAACCTCCAGATAACAGACTTTAACCTCATACCCTCAGACCACAAGTTGGCACACGGTTGGACCCACCTCCAATTAGGCGGAGGTAGCTGTCATTAGTCAGAATGGCTTCAGCATGAAACACCAAGATGGGGATCCGCCTGCAGCCACCAATCCACCTGATGCACGGATGATCCCTGCAATGGCAAGATAGTTAGCATAACCAGTAGCTGAGCCTTGCACACACACACAGCAGTTACTCATAATGAGGATGCAGCAACTCCCTACTTGCCCATGCTTGCCCACACAGGAGACACAGTAAAACACAGGCTAGGCACTTTGGTACCGAGCTATTCAGGGAAACTTCCAGATCTTCCTGGTTTTGCACTAGTCTCAGCATTTTAAATCATATTTTTTCTTAATTTGTATTGATTTTATCGACCATAATTTGAGAGACACTCCATGAATTTTCACAGTCACTGTTTTCTGGATTCACAGCCCACAGGAACACAAGATCTGCATTTCAGGTTAGATCACAATCACTCATATCCACACTCCCAGACCCCACGCGGGTTCCAATTCCAATTCAGGAACTGCAAATCAGAGCATGATGCCTAGTGGTAAGCCTGAACACTGAAATGAGTAAACGGGCACTCACACAGAGACTGTCAGACTAGAATGTACTTGGCTCAGCACAGAGGATGAATTTGTGCATTCTTCCTTTTTAAATTCATGCCAAATGCAGTGGGACACAAGCCCAGAATTCAATAGTGATGCCCCCAGCTAGCCATTTATGGTGGCTACAGGTTCCAAGATACAAAATAACAAGGCTACACTGCATATTGGAAACCATCACCTCCTCAGTTAGATAAATTAAGGACAAAAAATAAAAAAAAATAAAAGCTATTATATAAAACTCTGAGATGAAAGAAAGCAAACCTGTCAACTTGCCTAAGCAAATAAAACTCAGACTGCTTATTACTCACTGCTCAAGGAAATGGAATATGAAAAAGTTAACAAAAACCAGAGGCAATGGGGCGGAGAGACACATCTGTATCTACAAGGACAAGAAGAAAGGGAAAGACTGGCACAGAGGTACACAGAAACATTTGTTTATAGAATATGCAAGATTGTTGTCTGGCAAAGAATTGGAGAAACTGCAGAAGGCAGTTCCAAACACTTCCTGATTTTCCAACCTATTCACTCGATGATGCTAAAGCAATAGGTCTGAGCTGGCAAGGTTGTAACAGATACAGGCTGGTTTGCTAAGTTTGCATTACAAAACAGTGATTCATTAAGTCTGCAGACAAATGTATTGCAAATCCCAACTGCTATCCCAGCACAAGCACTGTGGTCTGTTTGAAGGTACCAGGTAGTGGGGCCATGGAAGCATTCACCTCTGGCCTCTACAAAAGAGCATTCAAGTTGTAAGAAGCACATACAAGTTGTATGATGGGTCAAACGTAGCGGGGGGGGATAAACAGCCTCCTAACCTTCAAAACCCACTTCAGATCCACTCCAAAAAGGTACTCAACCAATATGACATAAATCCCCTGGATAGAGATTTATATGAAGAAATCACCAGAATGACTGTTTCCTTTCCCCTGAAATAACAAGGGCAAAAACAAACGTGGAAATTAAGTGCCCAAGGGCAGGCATCCTTTAGGCAAAAGCAAATCAAACAAATAAATGCCCCAAAATCCAAAGAAAACCCTCAGTTTCCAGGGCAGTTTGTTAGACTCAGAGCAGCAACCTCACATAGATCCCTTGTCCTGGCCCTGTGATCTGCGGCCCAAGCAAGATCTCTGTGATCTCATTGAGTTCTGAACTATGCTCTCACTCTTCCAGTTGCTGAGATAAGACACTGTATCAGTTTGAATGGCTATGCCCACCAACTCAATATTCCAAGATCACACTTTTAAGCAGAGAAAAGTCCCCCCCAAAAAATTGCAACCACTCACCTGCTTATCTGGTAGCATGGCTGTACAGGGAGAGGTACCCATGCACTCTGGATCCTACACTTACAACACAGGTACAGAGACAAGGGGCAATCCTGTCCTGATGCTAGGACAAATAAGTAACTTATGTGGAATCTTAGTCCTCTTAACCAAGCTGTTATCCATTATCCCCCATACAAGTTAACTTCACAGCATTCCCATCTGATCCTACCACCTCCAGAAATCAACTACTTGGATGTAATCAGCTGTTCAGCCTACAAAGGTCCCAAGAAGGTTCCAGCACTTACAGTGCAGGCCAGAGCCTTACATAAGTGAGAAATGAGCTGAGGCAACAGGAGGGAAGTTTACATTAAGCCTGTCCCGAGGATTTGCAGTAAGGCTAGACAATCCTTCAAGTGACTGTCAGTCATTCCTAGCATGACCCTTGGTCCCTTGATACAGGCACACAGTTACAAGTACATTCTGGCTGAAGGTAGCTCCAGCCCTATACAGCCACAAGAGTCTGGCAAGTGTACCAACCACTTGGTATAAAGTAACAGAGAACTTGATCCGCTAAAGAGCCCTAAGCACTGCAGTTTGCATCTGGGCGCAACAAACAGGCCATATTAAGTAGGTTCAACTGAAACAGAAAAGGGATTCCACTCTGGGAAAAAGAAAGAGAACAAGTCCATCAAAAACAAGGACAAAAGAAGATACCAAACTAAAGATGGGACAAATGGACACTAGCAACTAATACTTACTCCAGAGTTCTCACAGGACAGTTTTAAAAAAAGGACCAAAACATGCACTTTACTCGACAGTGGACTCGTATGCAATTTCTCCTCTCTGCATCCAAAGTAAAAGCTAATCTAAAATAATCTAAAATAATCTCCTTTATTTTCTTAAGTGTCATCAAGAAAGCTTCCAATTTGGGAACAGGACAGCAAGAGATCAAAGAAACAACAGATTTTAGACTAGCCAAGAGCTGCATCCCCCATCTTAAAGAATATGGTGGTCTTTTAGGCTACAAAAGTGGGGAGCCCACCTACAGGCTTGAGGCCCATACCACCCATCCTCTCTTCAAGGCAAAGGCGGCAACTGTTTTTTCAGATTAGTACAAATCCTGCAGGAAGCACAGAGAGATGGAAACTGTTAAGGCTTTTTTTTTTTTTTTTTTTTAAATTACTTACTCCAGCCCATCTACAACCTCCTCCTCCTCTGAGGATGAGCCAGTTTCCTCCAGATCCCGAGCCATCCCAACTGGCATTTCCTCTGGGAGTTGTCATGCAGCCCAACCTCTGTGGACTCAGAGACCCTTTTGTGCAGATTCAAGGGACCTAGCAAGAGCAGTTACCTGTAATAAGGATTAAAAGCATAAATGCATAGCTGAGCAGGACAGCCAAAGAAATAAGGCAACTTAACTCCCACCTCCTGTCAACACCCATTTCTCACAGGGGTATCCACAAGCTTGTAACAGGCCATAAACCACCTCCTGGCCGGCGGGATTCAGGAGGAAGTATCACCTTCCACCGGTTACTCCCCCACCTGCCGTGAATCGTTCAGGCACTTTCCTCCCTTCCTCCGGCCGCAGCGCCGCACCGGGCTGGGCTGGGCCGGGCTGGCCTGACCCGGCCTCATCCGCCCTCCCGGGGCCGAGGAT